GTGCCAAGTCTGTATAAACAGTTAGGACCGTAGCCCCCCCCCCCCAACACACACACACACACACACACACACACACACACACACACCAGAGAGGGAGAGAGAGTGAGAGGGAGAGAGGGGGGTTACATTACATCAAACACAACATTAAAATCTGTATGCTACATTGAGATCATTGACGGAAGGCTGGTCCTGATATCCCTGCTCTCTCTCTCTCTCTCTCTCTCTCTCTCCTCTCGCTTGTCAACATTTAATCAACCTTCGTCTTTGTTCCTCAGCTTTAGATGCCGACACGTCCGACTGGGCACAAGTCATGAGCGTGAATGTGGCTGGATACTCGAATATGGTACAGGCCTGCTTTCTTCACATGAAGACAGGTAAACATATATCTCTTTTATTCTCCATCTCCTCCTCTCCATCTCTTTCTCTCCCTCTCTTTCTTCATCCAATAATGCCGCCCTCCATATAGTTATAATGGTTAGGGTTAGTCTGACCTAAATGGGTCAAAATCTAGGGCGAGGCTCACCTGTACAAAAGCAGAGTCTTCTGTCATGGGAGACTTTCTGGTACATGACACCGGCCAAGGAGAGCCACTCGCCAACATGGCGGCGGACACCTGTACAAAGTAATGGGAATCGGAGTCTTCTGTCATGGAGGACTTTCTGGTACATGGCACCGGCCAAGGAGAGCCACTCGCCAACATGGCGGCGGACCCGATGATTAACAAATTTTGCTGATTTGTATAGTTTCATCAACGATATTAATTAACTATTTATAAATTATGCTTATGTACGTTGTGAAAGACCATATCCTGTGTTTGCTTGCGACTGCTTTTTCTTTTTTCCAAGTGCATTGCGCTGTATTAGGGTGTATAACGCAATTTAGGGACGCACATCTCTTGCCACTCTGTGAAAGTGTGTGCATATGTCTTTGTGTCTCCCCTCTTTTTAAATAACGAGTTCATAAGTGTTTGTTTCATCTGCCTGTGTTTATCCACCTAAACAACAAAACATCAGCAAAATCAGCATCGTAATTAATACCGACTTTCTTTCAAATTCAGTCTTTTCTCCAATTAGACTAAATTTTGTTCATCGGACAAAGTTAAAATGCCAACATGCAATCAATCTCCAAATATTTATCATATTTTGTCAAAATTGAGCAGTTATATTAATATTTCATCAATACTTCACTGATATTTCACCAACACAGCCGAACCTGACGCCAGATCAGTCGTCAATATAGCCAGTATGGTCGGCCACGTGGCATCGGCCTGTAAGAGGACGTACTCGACCAGTAAAGGTGCTGTGCTGGAGCTGACTCGGTGTATGGCACTGGACTTGGCCAAAGATGACATCCGGGTGAACTCCGTGTCACCGGGAGTCATAAATACGGCAGCGGTAAGTGTGTGTTTGTGTGTGTGCGTGTGTGTGTGTGTGTGTGTGTGTGTGTGTGTGAGAGAGAGAGAGGGGGGGTATCAGAAGATTCGCTGATATCGACAAATTTGATTGAAGAAATGATGAAAAATTTGAGCTGAAGAGAGAATGTCATAGTTTTAACGCTGATTATCAAAATCCATATTAAAGGCAGTGCGGAGCAGAAGAAAGAACACTGCCGAAATGCCTTGGAATAAGCCTTGGAATTGTTGCCCACAGTTGACGATTGACTATTTGCCGAAGCATTTTCCAACTGACGGGTCAACAATTCCGGCAGGACACAATAGAGCCTAAAAGTATCCAGTTTGGTTGCCATCCCTTATTACCCTCGTAATCACAGGCACAATCCACAGGGGTCCAAACAACGAGGTCAACATACTGGGCATTAGCCACGTACTACATCTGAAGCTGTACTTGGGCATAGTACTTGTGTTTCTTTTTGAGAGAAAATGAATCATCTTGACAAAAAATTCTCCTTGGATGTTGTCCTCCATTGTTTTCTCACGGCAGTTGAAAGGGCATTTTATCTCAAGAACACCAAGTCCGCAACATGAACATGTGATGATGCCATCTGGTGATGCACCAAAATGTGGTTTTTGTGGTGAATGCAGTAAGCCTGACTCTGTTAAGGGATCTTGGATATTAACGAAAAAGTCCAAAACTAATGCAGCTAATGAAATTTCCTATTAACTTAAAGAAAAGGTCTAGCAAGCCAAACAATTTTTCAAAGTTTGTAGTCACAGTGTAACACGAGTGACGTAATATCAGCGTTTTGAGGCTAAAATTGTCTTTTTTTTTAATCAAAAATTTCTCTTAAACAAAAAGCCCTATCAATGCGATTGAAATAGCTATCTAAAGGTTAGCACAAACTCCATTAAACTCTGTCAGGATTTTCTCTTTTTATTTTTACTTTTGATTTTATTTTGATAAAACGTGAATTTTACGAAAAATATATGGACCTTCCAATTTCAGTATTAATAACTTCAAAAATAAAAGGTCAATCCAAAAACCAAGACTCAGACGACTAGATATTATACTGAAACAGAGACACATCAAATTTCATGTCAATCTGACAGTTACAGAATGAGATATGGGGATTGAAGTTTAGACTATGTTATCAATCTTCAAAGCTGAGAAATCGCTCCTAAACCATTTTGCTCAGGTAATTGGGCTATTTAAGCAAAATAATTGCACCTCCACCTTACCTGTTATCATCTTGTTGATCGGGAAGGTCTATACACCATTACGTGTTAAAATTGGGTTGTTTGTTTCTATCTAGATGCCAGAAAATCTTACTTTTGTACGCAAACTTATTCGTACCACGAAAGTCGCTCTTCCCTGGGAAATGATTGACAGCTGAGTAGGTCTACCTACTCTCGTTTCACTGACGTAATTAATCATAATTGTGCCTGACGCAGTAGGAGTCTGTGCACTGTCTAGGAAGTGTCTAAGGAAGCGCTTACAAACAAAAAGAGGATTACTTGGTGTGCCAGCAGAGGACAATGCCACCCGTCGTGCGTGGGCGCCGCTCTACACACCAAGACGCGAAAATTGAGAAAGTAAAGCAAGATTTACTCCGAGAAATGGCCGAATGTGGGTACGTATATGCCATGATGCCACAGAGTGCCAAGACCGTAATATGCGAATTTGAAAATGTTTTGGGTGGCAATATTACTTTAAAACTTGCTTGCTATTACAATCTTTATTGTGCATAAAATGATTGCCTAACGATTTTTTT